TTTCCCAATGTTTGCTTATATGGAATTGCACGAAGAGGCTAGTGGCTTGGATGATTCTTTATTGATGATATATGAATTTTGATGAAGTTCGAGAGATGATTTTGAACTTTATTTATGTTTTTCTTGTTAATGTATGTAAAAAAAATACAAATATTTAGAAATCATATTTTTGCAAGAAATAATATCATTAAAATATTTTTTTAATATACGTTTTAGTTACTTGAAAGGGGTACCATTTGAAAATATCGCATAGGGAATCTAAAATCTCAAGGCTGGGCCAAATAAAAAATTAAATTGAGAAGTTGAAGAACCAGCAGCAGAAGGCCGTACCAAGATTCTGCCGCCAGTTTTAGCCATCTTTCAAAATTTCCCGATAGCTGGAAAGTGCGCCTCATCAATTCTTTCTCGTACTTCTTTGGTCTTCGGGGGATGACAAAATTAGTAAGCTGCTGGAAAATGAAAAAACTGAAAGGTTATATAAGGAAATCATGTACAAATAGCATTTGTACAATGGTTTCTTACAACATTCATTATTCTATAAAAGGACTATTGAAAAAAGTTGTAATTTTTTCTTTCTATTTTGGTAGAGCCAATTTTAAAAAGCAAGAGCATGTTGGGTGAAAATTAATTGTTTATTTAGTCCATGTTTGTCTATCATTAAAGTATTTTTTTTTAAATTTATTTTCAAACATACATTTTTATAATAAAATATTTTACATGTAAATATAAAATTTTTCCTACTTCCAATCCACACAATCCTAAAAAATTACCATTTAAAAAAATTTTTCCCCCAAAAAATCCATTTTAATAGTAGACAAACAAGCGCTTAGAATGCGAGGCCTACAAAATATGGGCACCAAAGTCTACCCAAGTGTGAAAATTTTCCAAAATTTCTTACCCATGTGGCCAAGTTAAAATTAAATTGTTTTTAAAGGAACAAGGTTAAATTTACAATAACTAATAAAGGGGCAAGTAGGAAATAGATGAACACTGCTTACCAATGAATAGGCTACCCACGACAGTGGATTATTATTATTCTGTTGGTTTCTTTGTTTTGATCGTGTAGACCGAAACTTTATTCTATAGATAATAGTCTGTGTGTAGTTGACACTTCTATTCATAGTTTTTGGTCAAAATTTAAACACTTCAGATTTTCTGTTTGTATTCTTGACGTTGAAAGGTGACACTTATATTGAATTCTTTGCTCCCGTAGTTGTTCTTTTCTCCAGAAACTAACTGTTGTGGCTGTAGTGTTGCACGGTTTGGGTTTAATTTTACCAAGAACATCAGCTTCAAATTTGAGCAGTTGGATAAATTAATAATGCTTGACTGTCATCAAATTTAGTTAATGCAGAATGTTGTGCCTCAGTTCTATACTTGTGCTTGTAATTAGGAAATTTCTATTGAATAAATGTTGCTGCTTGTTTATACTTGCCGTATTTGTTCGATAAAAATGAAAGATGAAAAGGATTTCTCCATCTACGACCTCCCCTTTTTTTTTTATGTGCTTAACTGTCTCAAAAAGGTGTTCCCCACCAGTTCTCAGCTGTTGCAACCAGCTTTCTCGCCTCTGAAAAATAAAAAAAAGACGATTGAAGAAATCCATGTTTCTTTTTTGACAATGGGCTCAAATCTCTCTTACATTCTGAACTTAAAGCGGACAAACTGGTAACGAGGTTCCATTTTTTTTTACCTCAAAAATATCCATCAAACACGTCGCAATTTTCATTTCATTTCTCGTTTATCTCATTTACATTTTCATTGTTTCCTATTTTCAACTTTATTTTCTTGGGATCTTTTTATTGCAACTCATCTTCTGCATTGCTTTTATTCAAAGTTTTTAAACTGTTATACACATTTTGAAATTTTTAGTTGAGTCCACATAGCCTTGGTGTAGGCTTCTTAGCGAATTCCCGAAGGTAATTCATTTTTCCTCTAACTAAATTTTTACTGTTTTTGGAATCAAGTGGTGGTCCAGGCGTGTCTTCATTTATTAATTTTGTATTTTGAATGTTGAATTTTAATATCTATTATAGGGGTTTTGAATATGAAGAAGCAAATGTTTTTGTTGATTAATTGCATAACCCAAGTGTTTCAGTTTGTTAACCCATTTTCTTGATGGACTCGAGCAAATGGTCCAATCTTTCGATCCAAGATCAAACCATTACTGCAATTTCGCCTTTCATAATGCTTCCTCAGTTATTGCTTTAGATTGATCTTGGCCACAAAATTTTCTGTATGGCACGGATATTATAGAGCTTCTAAAATCACAATGAATCTTTTCAACATAATATATGAATCCTTTGCTTCCCATGAATGTTGCTTACCTCTCTTCCAATTTTTAAATATATGAATCATTTTCTCACTGTACTTCTGTTTTGCATCATACATACTAATAACTTACCTCTCCTTTATTTTTTTTGGCAGATAGAACGCAGAGAAAGGATGTTACAATCACTATTTTCTCAAATATGATGGACATGCTCTTGAGTCATTGCTGTCAACTCTACCTGTTCGGTCAAACGGTGAGAAATCTGTACAGATCTATATTTTTTTGGTTTTCGTGTGATTTTCTTAGGTTTCATCACGTTTGTGTATGCATACTTTTTCAATTTCTTTAAATAAAGGGTTATAAAAGTATATTTAATTATTTTCTGATCTTCCACAGAAACTGGAGGCGGTGGTGCTTCTTTGCTACGTGCTTAGCCGACGGATGTCATCGGCTCAAGTGGAGAATGATTTTGTCAACGGTGAGTATTCGAGATCGAAGGGTAGATCTGTAAAGAGTGTTAAACGTGCATGTCCGGACGCAAAACACTACAGAAACAAAACAGAAATACCATGGAGTACATTAGCACTCAACATGTTTGGAGCATTTTATAAAACAGACAGTGCTTTTTCTAGGATAACGATATCCGAATTTAAGATGGAAAATATATAGGTTGTAGTTAATCATAAAGAAAAATTACCAGAATGTTGTATAATAATATTTTCCTAACCTGTTACATACTTCAAACGCTGCAAATTCAGTAGTCTACAGCTAAAAAATATCCCAATTGGCTGTTCTAAAATGACGTCATAAATAGCTTTGTGGGACTTCAAGTAGTAAAATAAGATATATGATACGTACTCTATGTTTGAATCATATTATTGAAATCACAAGTTCACAAAAAATGACATCCATCTCACTTAACGTGACCAAAGATTGTTAAGAGAATCAATTGTTTGGCTTAACATTTGTAGCAAGATCAACAATTGGAATTTCTTTATCCAACAGAAGACAAATCAAATGGATCTTTCTCAGGTAATTGTACCATATTTTTTTTCCAATGCATTCGTCATGAAGAAAAAATAAATAAATCAAAACTTGATATTATAGCAAACAACATATTCATTGGGAAGCCCTTTTAGATCATATTCGGTCCCATCTAATGTCATGTTAGATATAATCTTTGAAAATCTTTGGGATTGTTAGGCAAAGTTACCTTTTTCACCAACAAAACCACAGCCTCTTTTCGCATACTGTTTTTTGCCTTGTCTATGGTTCTGCGCTATCTACATATTATTTAATTGATTTCATTTCCTTGGAAGATATCCACTTAAAGCCAACAAGGTCATGCACAATGTGTCTGTTCTTCATTTCTTCATGCTCTGTATATTTCATAATTGTATTTTTGTGGATCAAATCATATGAAAATTTACTTCATCAAATTAAGTTAATTTTGCTTACCTCATTAAATGCACGTCAATCACTAACATTCAACTTGTTAACATTATCTTCAAAATAACACAATCTGTGTATTGCATGGTCAAAAAACTAATATGATCAAAAAGGAAGAAAATCAGTGGCATCCATAGCATGTTTTATGGGTTATGGGCAAGTGATACGTGCTGTTTCTTGAACATAGCATTGTTGTGCAACGTGGAGACTTCTTTGTATTGCCATGTATGATTAAAAATGCGATCATGTTTAGTGGGGCTGTTGAAAATTGAAACGTGGGTTAAACAAAATGGTCAGACTGTTTTGATTCTTGGTGATCTTATGAGCGCCGAGGACATAAGCAATGACTTGGTCAAGAAAACTCATTGGAGTTGTAGAAAGAAGAGTCTTTGTAGGACCAACAATTTTTCATCATTTCTACCATATTTGATACGTTATTCGAAATGAAATATTTTGATATTTGTATCGCCATGTCATGTTCAAGATCTCTAAAAGAAGTCCGCGCAAACCTCAAATTTAGTCTACGTTGAGCCACTCCATGCTTCCACAATTCGACTTCCCTATACATCTCTAAACATAAACCTATTGAAGCAACCTCCCACGTCTAAAATACAAGTAAAAGACAATTCTTCAAGCGAATGCTTGCTAACTCAAACATTTCAATCAAACGCCAACCTTCGATTTTTACTTAGACTTCATAAAAGGATTTACAAGCAAGGGATTCAACTGAAACGACTCTTTTTCATTTCTTTCCTCAATACTTGTTCTACATCATCTTTTTTACATTTTCTCTACGGATTGATCTAAAAGGCAATTAGAATATCAACAAGGCTAAGTACAAGAGACTGACAACCTTGCCCTATACAAAAAGTTACAAGAAACACAAACTGCTTCACTGCAATTTATAAGCTACTCTTAATTAAATATGTTATCTTCAAGTTGTCTTTTACTATGTTTTGTTTGATAAACTTTGTTAAAGTTTTATCAGTTGGTGCAGTTCGATTTGGAGCCAATGTAATAGTTCAATACCTAGGCTCGGAAAGAAGCCTTTAAGGGTTCAGAAGTTTAGAAAGATTTGTGGCCAATAGAAAGGAGACATCAAAGAGAGTTCTTTTGTTTTGGCATGGATATTCTTCTCAAGCTTGACTTACAAGGTTTTTAAATGCATTTTTCAAACTGATCGTTTGTACATAACTACGGAACATATGATCATGCCTTTCCATACAGAATTGCTACTATCCTAAGGTCTCTTGTTTCTAAAACGTGCTTAAAATAACAAACTTTTGCAACTGAAGAGCTTGTAAAAAATCATATTTATTTGTTTCCTGAGAGGTTTATTGCCAAAAGACCATCAATATATGTCTGTGCGACAGTAAGAGCAATGGTGAAAAATGCACCTAGAAAAGCCAAGAGAGCCCAAGGACTGTTAAAATGGTCGTCTATCCATTCAGCCGTCCAGACTTGTGCTTTACTCCTGCAATGATTTTCAATCTGCCTCTGAACATCTTCATAAACACGAAGATCAGGTACTAAATCATTAGCTATCTCATTAAAGAGTTGCGCCAATTCTTTGTCACTGCCTAAATTGTTGACAAGAATTCTTCTTTTCCGGAGCTCTTTAACATCATCAGCATGATCAATAAATGAATCCATTAGGCAAATGTATGACATAAGGCGATAATCAGAAGGGCCATGGGGACTCATTTCATAAGCCGCCAAGTTTAATAACAAAGATTTTGTTGAATAATCTACCATGATTGGAGGAAGTTTAAGAGTACCAGAAATAAGGTGAGATTTGAACTTTACATCAGTAACATGGTTAGTTTGACTTGGTCTGAAATGAATTCCTGCTGATTTGAGCTCCATTACTGAGCGATACGAATGCCATTTGATAAATTTCTCCTTGTTTTTGTCTTCAGAAAATGATCTGGTGAGCTGTTCCTGAATTAGATGCAGAAGACGTTTGACAGATTTCTTCTCGTTTTCATCTTCAGGAGATGGCCCGATGAGCTGTTCCCGAACTAGATGCAGAAGGTGATGAGGGCGTGCATCCATATCCATATCCATTTTCCATTTCTCCCTTTTCTGAACACTGCATCTCATCATTCGTTGCACAAATTTCTTGACAGCATTAGTGTATGTACTTTTCTGTGGCGGCATTATGGTGACCGTCTGTTCAAGGAAATTCTGAATCAACTTTGTCCCCTCGCTTTCATTTTTGAACCTGAATTTCATCAAAACTTTTAGTACTAGTAGAGGAATTTGATTCTCTAGCAAGAACAAGTCACTCCTCGCAAAAGCAAGATACCGACTCCAAGGCTGTAGTGGATCTACTTCATTTCGTTCCATAACTGTCCCACTGGAATAATTACTTTCAGTTTCGGAAAACGACATAAATTCAAGCACAAAGCAAGCATCAAGAAGCATCATTTTGGTGAACGATTCATCTTCATACTCATCAGTCGTGCCTTTCTCATAGCATTTGCGAACGCTTTCACCCACCTTTGCCACCTCTTCATATAACTGTTTGATGGATACATGATTACCACAGGCACGAACGAATTTCTGTGCGACAGGAATTTTTAGCTTCTCGAATGCATCGAGCTGTGGCTTTCCATGATGATAAGGGCCTATCGAAATTACGAGAGGATCATAACATGTTTTGTTGGATGGTTTGTCCCGCAGAAATGATGGAATCCTTTGTATTTGGAGTTTGTCTGTTGTGTCTTCAACGTAGTTCTCTACAGAAATGAACCACTCATCCTTGGAAATGCTGGTGCTTGATTCTTGTGATATTTTGTCAATTTGAGTGGCACTTTGTGTTGAAAATATGGAGCCTAAGTTATAGGCTTCACAAATTTCTCATGTGTCAGGCAAAAATTTCCAAATAGTGGCAGACACATATGGCAGCAAATGTTGAAGACTTTGCATGCATGGTAAGCAATTGTTGACAAAGCAATGTGGATGGAAAAGGTTTCAAACCATGCAGCTGCCACCGAAATTTTTTTGGAAGAAATTCTTTGCCATGCAAACCAACTTTGTGGAAAATGTTGGATTTGCATTAATGAGGAAGGTGAAAAATTTCCTATAAATTGGAGGCCAAAGCAAAGGAAGAAATGTGCCAAAGTGAGAGCAAAAACAAGTGCAAAAGTGTTGAGTGAAAACACGAGAGATAGTGAGCAAGCACAAAGTGAGAAGCAGTTAGGCTTTCGTTTGTGCAGAAAATTAACGAGAGAAAAATAGAGAGATTGTCTTTGCGTAGGCAAATAAAATACAGAGAGTGTATTTGTTGTACTCCTTTTATTCTCTTGTTGATATAGTAAAAGAATTGGTGTGGGTTTGTGGACGTAGGCACAATTGCCGAACCACGTAAATTCTTGTGTCACTTGCACTTATTATTTTTGCTACATTTATTTCTTCTCAGTTTAAATTATTCTGCGTCCCACTGATCCTGGCGGAATTAGTAGCGGTCTAATTTCCCAACAACTGGTATCAGAGCTCCAGAATTTAAGTGGGAGGAATGGCAACAGACGAGAAGATATCCAAAATCGATAAGTTTGATGGTACAAACTTTGGATTTTGGAAGATGCAAATGGAGGACTATTTGTACCAAAAGGACCTGTATAAACCACTTCACGTAAAGCCGGAGGACATGACCGACGACGAGTGGGAATTACTTGATCGAAAGGCTCTTGGCGCAATAAGACTGACATTATCAAAGTCAGTCGCTTTCAACATAAAAAATGAGAAGACGACGGCATCTCTCATGGCGGCCCTATCTAGCATGTATGAACAACCATCTGCAGCAAAGACAAAGCAATGTGGATGGAAAAGGTTTCAAACCATGCAGCTGCCACCGAAATTTTTTTGGAAGAAATTCTTTGCCATGCAAACCAACTTTGTGGAAAATGTTGGATTTGCATTAATGAGGAAGGTGAAAAATTTCCTATAAATTGGAGGCCAAAGCAAAGGAAGAAATGTGCCAAAGTGAGAGCAAAAACAAGTGCAAAAGTGTTGAGTGAAAACACGAGAGATAGTGAGCAAGCACAAAGTGAGAAGCAGTTAGGCTTTCGTTTGTGCAGAAAATTAACGAGAGAAAAATAGAGAGATTGTCTTTGCGTAGGCAAATAAAATACAGAGAGTGTATTTGTTGTACTCCTTTTATTCTCTTGTTGATATAGTAAAAGAATTGGTGTGGGTTTGTGGACGTAGGCACAATTGCCGAACCACGTAAATTCTTGTGTCACTTGCACTTATTATTTTTGCTACATTTATTTCTTCTCAGTTTAAATTATTCTGCGTCCCACTGATCCTGGCGCAATTAGTAGCGGTCTAATTTTCCAACACTTTGGTTATCTTCTATAGCTCCAGCTGAGCTACCAGGACTCCAGATTGGCTGGACGTTCGCGAACATCTCGACGGCCGGCGAGCAACCGTCCAGTATATGGTCGGATCCAGATGTTGACATCCCTTGGTCGTCAGCACCTATTATTAGCAGCTTATTTGATAAAATATCAAAATTTTAACTAAACAAATTTCAATTTTAAAAAATATATTTTATGAAATTCATAATTTTTATCTCTTCACTCATACATTTTATAACGAGCCAGGCTTAGGCACATAGACAAAAAAAACCAGGCTTTTTTTTTTTTTTTTGGTAATATAATCTAATATATGTATTCAAATCGTCATATTATACATAGTATTCACTTTACTAGATCATCTTCCATTTTATCCCTTATGAATTTAATCTAACACGTTTGTCCAAATTGTTAAATCATAATGTAAAATGATGAACGTCAAAGCAGATAATGTTTAACCTTATTTTCCCTAATTAAGTATGCAAACGAACATTTTTTTCAGTATCATGTTAGACTTTCATAGTTAGAAAAATACATTTCACTACTGATCTTACACAGAATATGCGAGAAAATAAGCACATAAGATAAAATCATGGATAAACATTTAAAAATTCAGCATTTCATTATTCATGATCTCAACTCCATTTCTAAACATTTATATCGTACTTAATAAATGCAGTTTTTTTTTTTGTTTTTTTATTTGGAGAATTTCTTGCTTTTCTTCCTACAAGAACTCCAGGACAAAAAAATATCATTATTAACCATAGAAGGTTATCTTTCTTAATTTTCCATAATAAATATGAAATTTAGCAAATAAAAATCACTGTAATCCAAAAATCAACAGAAGAAATTTAGCAAAATAACAACAGAAAAAATTGAAATATAAAAATATAAGACTAAGTCAACAAATTGTACCTAGCAGTAAAGTCCCTCTTTTTCCCGTTCGTTGAACCACTGTTGAACTGAACACGTTAAGAGCAATGTGAGTCATCTAGGTAGGCAAAAGCAATATTTATAGGCGTGAAAGCTTACCTGAACATACCACTGATTGACTACCTCAAAAAAGCCCCAATTTAAGGGATTGTTTGGGAGCTCACACTCAAGTACTTTTGAGTAATTGAGTTTTTATTTGGACCATGCTACTCAACCATAGAGGTTGACATCAGGGATGACATACTACACACACATGGGGGATGTCGGATTATTTTATTCATGGGGACCCACCACCTCGAATGTGAGTGCTATGTCATCCATTGTGTCAAGAGCTATGTTCATTTGGCTTAATTCTTTTTATTTCCCTTTTAATAGTCATTTCATTTAACGCTTAGTAAATAGTAATCACTCGTTGTATAACAGAAAAACAAATACTGAATATAATAAATAATTATTTATTTTATCGTGAATGTATATGTAGTTTGTCCAATAATTTAAAAACATACGTATTTTCAAATTTCCAACAGTTTTTCCAACCTCTCCCAAACAAACCCTAACACTTTTCAAATCGATCATTGTACATTACGTTGCGATTGCTATACAATAACTATTTCTGTGGGCAACCGAGAAGGGACAAGCACAAGTGTTGGTTCTGTAATGGAGGAATAGAGCAGGTACCATTTAAAATTGAATAATACTATTTATAGTCGCTCACTGTCGGTAGTCGCTTTACATGATAGTTTGTTATTTGAGTCATCTAGGATGATAACCGATATCGAGCGAGCATGAATAGTATTATTCTTTAAAGTTGTCGCAATTGCCTTTTTGTGGGAAAAGGTAATTTGCGGTTGAGAAATAGGTGAGGATGATCAAACGGTTGAGAAAGATATTGTATGTGTTTGATACCCATTTTAACCTCATTTTTAGAATTTTACTGATTGGTTTAAATGTTGGACAAATTAATGACAAAACTTAAATAATCAATAACAAAATTGTGTGCCAAACGTAAAATGTAAATGAGAATGTTAACCAAAATGTAAGTAAAGGAAAACTGGATAAACTTTGATAAAATTTTATCAATTGAAATCATTAAATTGCCTATTATATTTAGACCGTCATTAATTTGTTAGAGCAACTTGAAATTTTTTAATATTTAATTAAAATTTTTCACAAATAACTTATAAAGATATTTTGTTATTTGAAATTAGGACTATGGTTGATATGTTATAGATTTTTAAGTTATAAATATGAATTATGCTAAAGGTACACAACCATGTATCTAAAGGTATACCTAATGTACACCCGGCGCCTCGGTATTGGCCGAAGCGCCTGTGGGCCCGACATGGCATCGAGGGACCTGGTGTCCATTAGATACACCCTTAGGTACACGGTTGTGTATCACTAGCAAGATTGAATAAATATATGTTGTTAATTACTTATCCTATTGCATTTAATCATTTTCCTGATCCCTTGTTCATAGTGGGCAGGGGATATTTGTCCACTAGTGAGTCTAAAATACTTTTTACATCACCAGTGGGCAAAATATCTTCTATATACTATGGGCATAAAATCAATCATGTCACATTAACATTATAGTACCTAGAAAAGCATTTTATTATCTACTTATTCTAGCATGAAACGAAGGTCGGAGAGCATTCTTTCATTACACTCAACAACCCACAGATTAACATTGTTTTGCAAATTTATCATTGTTAAGTAAACTGTGATCAACTTCTATATTAAATTGCGCATACAACAAAATTGTTGAAACTACAAATGCAGACAATTGAGCTCACATCTATTGTCGCTCCAATACATTTTTAACCTTTCGGTACATCACATTTTCTTATCAAATGAAAAAATCAACATATGTCTTAAAACCTCAGCATATTACATTAAACCTCAGCATATTACAAATTTACCGCGTCCTTATTTATTTGGAAGAAGTGAGTTGTTTAAGTGACAAAAATGCAATGATAAGACAGTTAAGAAGAAGTGATTTGTTTAAGTGACAAAAATAAAAATGATAAGACTGTCAAAAAGATAGAAATTATAAGACTATTTCGCTGGTGATCAAATTAAAGTACTTTGTCCTTATTAGTACAGATCAAGTGGGGTTGCTACTGGATTTTTAAGAGATTTTTCTATTTGGCTTATCACTATTCCTTTTTATGAAAATATCTATATTACCCTTAATGAAATGATTCTTTCTATATTGCAACATATGTTCTAATCTTTTAAACATTTTATCTTCTGCTTACTCTATTTTGGATATTTGAATAAAAAATCATTCTACGATTTAATAAATAAGAATAATCCGCAACATATATATCATATAAAATACCATATTCTTCAAATGGTAAATTTATATTTTTTAATTGAGATATAATATTCTTTATTTCTTCTAACATTCTTTCTAATAAATTATCTAATCTTTCAACTGTATATCCTCACATTTATCAAAATAATCATCATGCAATTGTCGCTGCGATTCTTTTAAGATCTTAAAAAAGATTTATTCTAATTTTAGCAAAAGTTTAATAGTTTTACCTTAGGTTTGATCTAGACTTATATTCTTAGAATCGAGTGACCTTTGAGCTCTGAATTTGTAAACTGCTTCCTTCAACGGCCTCCTGCCTTCACGGAATTGTTACTATTTCAGTTACTTGCTCTCACTGTATTAACTTCTAAATAATAAAATTCTAGACTTCTATTAAAGAAAAACTCTCTTTTTACTAAAATAAGAAAGAAACTTTCTATTAGATCTTTAAAAAATCTATGGAAAAAAGATTTAGAAACTCATATTGATATAAAAATATTGGAATTTTATTTCTATTAGGATTGATACAAGACTTTAATTTGGTACAAAGGGATTTCCAAAAAACCTGATTTTTAAACTGAGAATAGGTTATTGCTTACAACTCGAGAATTCAAGATAGAATGATATGATCTTCTTCTATGGTAATGTCTCTATTTATACAAGTTTTTGAGACTCTATTACATCATTGAATATATCAGCAAGGCACACTTGCCTTTCTATTTTTTTCATTGGGCCTACATCTTTACATGCTGGTTTAACTTTTATATCCAAAGAGCATCTTTTTCTATTATTGCTCTTATCTCCAATGTCTTCACATGTAATATTATTGTCCTTCATACACCTTTGTCAAAAGGTGCTTTGTCTTCTTCTTTTATTTCTTCACATGCAGTTAGGGCATTCCCTTAGCTGGCATGATTCTTTTATATTGATAGGACATCCTGAAAATTGATGTATATCAAATCTTGTAATATAGTCTTTTAAAATTTCTGATTTTGCATATCCTCCATTGGATACCAACATCCAATTTTCATATTGGCACAGCCATGATAATTTTTTATCAAACAAATTTTTGACAATATTGTAGATGGCTTTAATTCCAAGTGCTCTTCTATGTCTGATCCATGATTTTGTCACTGTTGGGACTTTTCTATTATTCTCTGTAACATCAATTTGGAAATTGGCTTCAACATATCCAATTGAGATTATGTGTTCAACTGGATAGTAAACAATTCCATTATATTTTGGACTGATTGAATAGAATTTTAAAAATATCTTCCTTCTCTTGGCAAATCTGAATACTTCCTTAATAAATATGTCATCAAACTTTGAAATTTCAATAAAATCTTTTCTTAGATAAATCAAATCCATGAATCCATAGTCTGTCATGATTTTTATAAATGAAAGGTCATCTCCTTCCATAGCTGTTATTCTGGGGTAAACATTATTTCCTGGAAAAAATAAAATATGAATCACTTATTTTTATTTCATAAGCGATTTTATCTATTTCGGCATATTTTTCTTCGTTTGGATCTAAAGGGATTTTATCTTTTTGGTCCATGATGCTGATTGTTTTGGCATCTCTTTTATCTCCATGTATCATAAATTTATTGGTTGATGATACAGAAATGGAATCTCCTTTATTATCAGTTGGTATATTGTTATGTCTGGGTCCACTGCTGCTTCTAGCTGTCCTTGTTTGGTATTGATTTGAAAAACTCATTTCTGAGCTCTTTGGTATATATGCTTCAAACAGTATATTTCTTAGTTGTTCTGCAATATCATCAACTTGATTTTTGAGTTCTATGACATATTTATGATGCTCAGTAGTGATATTCAACAATATTTTCATATTTGAGTTGAACATTTCTGAGATCTGGGTTACTCCAAAACTTATATCTTCAAATTCTTCTTTAAGAAAATTTGTTCTTTCTTGTAAATGTGTAATAGATTGGTATAACTCCATGACTTTGGCTTTATCCATCAGCAAATTCTATGTTCATGCTGAGAAAATCTGCAAGAAAATTATTAACTCCTTTAATATAGACTATATCAAAATTATAAAAATGTTAAATAAGCTTGTCATCTATGAAGCCTTCTGTATTGTGGTTCTGAGGGTAACTTCTTCCTGACTAATCCTGCAACTTGAGAATTATCAGTTTCAACAATAAATTTCTTGGATAATAAAAACAATGAGAACTTTTTTATTCCTCTAATAATTACTAGTAATTCTTTTTCATAAGTAGTATAATTTATTTTTGCTTGGTTAAAGGTTCCACTTGAGTATCTACAAATTTCATTAAGATTTGTTTTTAATATTGCTGCCCAATATTTATCAGTATTAAGAATCAAATTATCTTTTTCATCTGGTAATCTTGATTTTGGTAAATTTTTGCATTTTTTTTTAATGATTTAACTATTTCTGTATGTTCTTCATTTCATCCCTTAGTATTTGTTTTTCTAAGTAAAACTTGGATTTTATATCTTTTTTTAGAAAGATTTTCAATAAATCTTTCTGCATAATTTAAACATACTAAAAATTTTTGAATTTGTTCCTTAGATTCTAATTTATCTGGAAAACTCTCTATCTTTTTTGGATATATAAGTCTGTAATTTTATCCCTCTTTTATCTATTGATAATCCAAAAAAGTCTATCTCTTATTTTTCTACTATAGATTTCTTTTTAGATAGTAAAATTCCTTCTTTTTTTTACATTCATTAATAAATTGGATTAAATAATTTCTATGTTCTTCTTT